GTTGTATTGGGATAATGGGGTTATAAAGGGTTTTGGGCATGTTGCGAGGATTCAAGGGGAGCATCTGGAGGTCGGTTCTTCATTACCTGGACATGCCGGCTTCGTTTGGCAAAGATCTCTCCCAGTGCCTGTACATCGCCTGTCATCGTTGTTGCAAGTGTGCGGCAATCAACTCTCCTAAGCATGTGAATCTGGTCGTAATTAATACCAGTTCATCACCAAATAGTTTCCGGACACAGCTTGTTGTCACAAAGCGTACCCGCTTCTTGCGTATCCTATACTGCCTATACTTCAGTAGTCCAGGCTGTGTTATCCCCACAGCACGGCAGGCCTTGTGGTGAGCCGCTGCTGCAGAAGTTGGGAGGAATAGCAACAGGCACATCTCCTAGCAGCGGTCTTGGATTGCGGCACACTATGAAGAGCAATCCCTCATGCTTAGGGCTGTGTAGACAGGAGCGATGAGCAGCTTGTGTCTGTGTCAAGCGAGCAGCGCACGTGGAAGGGCGTCCGGCCCCGCCGGAACTTGATATGCCTGTATGCAATCCCATACCTGCGCCACCGCGACATCTGACATGTGAGTACAAGCAACAACGTGAGGTTGGCAGCAGGCTGCAGCCCCTCTGAGGTCCAAAATGTCACGTTGCTCTGTTTCGCGCAGAAAATTCTCCCACCCATCTGCCGAGATGCGTTGGCACGTCCTCCGTGTCTTCCTGGAAATCAACGATGCCTGGGTATCCAAGCAAGCTGCGACGCCTTCTGATAAATGCTTCAGAACTAACAAGCCAGATTCTGCAGGAGATCAGCTGAACTGGCACGTACAAATCCCATTTGTTTCATGGACAAGCGTTCAAGTCTATGGAAGTGGAAGTGGCGAAGTCAGGCGCTCTCATTTGATATTGACTGATGCACCTGACAACAGCTTTGGCTCCCAATCGTTACAAACCAAGGCCCAACACAAAGCTCCTGACTTCTGGAAAGATGTCCCGAGGGAAGTTGGAAAGAGATACTTGGGCAGGCAGCCGGGCTGTGCTTTCGGCCACCTGACAGGTTCGGCTGCAGGCTGTGTGCCTTACAGAGACCTCGATTGAAGAGAAAATTCACCATTCACGGCTTGCTAAAAACATCGCCTCCAAAGGCGGTAGCAGGCCTATCGTGATGTGGCTGTGAATCAAAACACCGT